AACGTTCTTCCCTCCAAGAACAGCGCTCTTCATTTTCCACTCTGTGTGGCTAACTCTGCGGCAAGGGTGGAGTGCCTAGCATGGAGGTTCCTCCTGTGGGACCTGCCCAGGAGCAAGGCCACAGCCATGAGCTAGAAGTCAAGGTTGTTGCAGGCAAGCCCAGCTCTGCCCAGAGACCCCATCCTTCCAGCATGAAATGGAACTAGGCTTATTGGAGCCTGGTGGGCCTTTTTGGTCTGAGCCATTTTTACCCAGGGTCTTAGCTGTGAAGCTTCAGCAGGCTTTGACTGCGGGGGTTCAATAACATGTGGGAGTCTAAGAAAAACTATGCCCAGCTCTCTGCATTCAGGCTTACTCTGCTTTGCCCATATCCATCCAGTCACACACATGCAAAAGGCCCCTAGTCATTGCAGTTCCTTGGAACTGTGACAACCTCAGAGTTACTCAAGCCCAGTGTTAATCTTAGGAGACAAGAAAATTAAAAGACTCTGTGGAGTGGAAATCCATTAGTATAATTTCCAGATTCAGTTTGGGAGAATGACTACTAGAAGCAGCATAGTGTAGCAATGTGATGGGACCTGAACCCAGTCTGCCTCAAAATCCTGCCGTGAAATCTTGGCTCTATTTCCTGTCCATGGATCCATGGGTAAGATGCTTAACTTTTCTATGCCTTTGTTTCCTTATTATAGGTAGAGAATAATAGTACTTCCCTCCCAGGGTTGTTCTGAGGATTAAAAGAGTTAATAAATGTACAGCTCTTAGAGCTGTGCTCAGCAGACAGCAAGAACCCATTAAATGTCAGCCATGGCTACTTCTGGATAATCTATGAGCAGGCCTCGACCTTAGAAGGGGCCCACACTTTGTTTAATACCCTGCTTTTGCCATCTTAAAATTCTTAGTATTAATAATTTGTAAACAAGAAACCCCACATTTCCATTTTGTACTGGACCCCACAAATTATATAGCCAGTTCTGTCTGCAAGGTTGTTGTGGGTAAAATCTCAAGTCTATATAGTATTGAAACTAAAATGACCAACCTGAGCATTATCTTAAGGAGAAAGATTAGATTTTCTCTAAACAAAATTCGGGCTAAGATAAATATTCTATGCACATTTGCAGGGCACTAGTGATTACTTGTTTACAGTGATATAATTTAGTGATAATAATATTGTACATTTTCATTTTTGCTTCAAAGGTTTAGCATTACCTGGATGTCGTACTTGTCAACATTGAAATGAACAGTAGTCAGTCTTAGACTTAAAAAAAATTCCATTATGATTCTAAATTTCCTGTATTAGTTTGTATTATTATAAAGATGGAGACAATATAATATTAGTTTTCTGCATTCTCTAAAGTTCCCACCATAGTCCTTGGCAACTAGTCAGTATTTAGTAAATTGTTTTGAAGATGACCAATAAGATGATCATATGTCACTAATCTCATGAGAGATGGTGGATATATCTGGGCAATAATGAAGTTAATATGCAATCAGCCCCTTCCTTCAGTACACATTTTGATTGTTTTCAGTTCATGGGCTTTGATTAAAATTTAAAAGCTAGGTTATGTGGGAGACTCTACTGCTTATTTTGTGGGACTTGCTTAGCAACCACTCCATGATAAGCAAAGGATTTTTTCCCAATCATATCCCACTATAGGTCTTTATTATTAAATTCCAGAAAATTAGACATAGGACCTTATAAATCATTTTCTCAGTGCCTGATTTTGCAGATGAGGAGACCGATACCCACAAAGGTTGTGATTTCTGAAAGTCTCGAAGTTCATTGGTGCTTGGCAAGGGGTTCACCAACTTCCTAGGTTGTTAAACAGGGGATGATCCATGTGGAGGGGCAAAGTCTGGGGCAAAGATGAGTCACTCCAACCTGGGCAACCCATCAATAATGAGCTGGCCACCATTGGCTGGCATTAACCACCTTGTAGGACTGCAAAAAGAAAACCTCAGTCACAGCTCAACTTCCCTCTAGCACCGGGTTCTTCCTGGGTCAGACACTTGAGATTTCTTAAGCTAATATTTTCTCTCTCCTTGCTCCCTCCCTCTTCCTTTTCATTCCACTTTCTCTGGAAAAACTGCACTGCAAGTATGCCTTTAAATCTTTCTGTATCCAGGTTCAGACAAGCAGCTTTTGCACATAAAGTTTGAGTATTGGCAGTCTTTGTTTCTAGTGCTGTGGAAAGTGAGTCCTATTTAGCTGTGAGGAGGGGACCCTGGGGTATTCCTGAAAGCATTTGGTGCATCCAAGAGTAAGGTGGGGTAGATGTGAAGCATATTAATTGATTCTTCAGAGTCTTAACTATAACTCAGGGGTCTTGCTTCCCCAGATGCCCTGTAACTCCTTTTGAAATTGGTTCCATTTATCTTTTTGCTTGCTCTCCAAACTTTGGAGAGAGATCTCTCCCTCTCCCCCACTCTTTCTTCTCTGGCCTAGCACTGCCAGGAAGGGGGCAGAAGCCTGCTGGGAGCAATGCCCTTGTGCCTTGTCAGCTATCCCTGTGTGAGAAGCAGCAGCCTCTAGGCAACCCGTTGGTCCCACTGCCAGGATTGCAGGAGGCGGACATCAATGCATGTATCAGTTCATTTTCACACTGCTGATAAAAACATACCCAACACTTGGTAATTTATATAGGAAAATGGGGTTTAATGGACTTACAGTTCCATGTGGCTGGGGAGGCCTCACAATCATAGCAGAAGGCAAGGAAGAGCAAGTCATGTCTTATATGGATGGCAGCAGACAAAGAGAGAGCTTGTGCAGGGAAACTCCCCCATATAGAACCATCAGATCTCGTGAGACTTATTCACTATCACAAGAACAGCACGGGAAAAGATCTGCCCCCATGATTCAATTACCTCCAACCAGGTCCCTCCCACAACATGTGGGAATTCAAGATGAGATTTGGGTGGGGACATAGCCAAACCATATCAATGCATGAGCCTGAGGGTTCCTTGTCCTTGGCAGTGCGGGCGATGTGATTTTTTTCAGAAATCCTTTTTCTTTAGGTGCTACCTGTCAGGTGAGGGGGTTGAAAACCGGGGGCACCAGGACTCCTGTTTACCAGATGGAGCTGAGCTAACAAGGGAGGGTGAGGGAGGGGAAATTGCTACATGGATTCCGGCTGTTCACTTGAAGATGTGAGGCAAACGTGTCCTTCAATTGGTCTGGGAAAGAGGGCCAGCTCTGAGTGACACAGAGCACCCTTAGAGGGTAAATGATGGAAAAGGGCCCTATTGTGTCACTGCCTTGGTCATACTTTGGGTGAAAGCACATTGCCTTGGTGGATATGAGGACCTAGGATCTTTCTCCCTATAACACAGGAACCCCTTAATGTTCATTGCCCTTGTCTTTATGGGATTTTCAGAGCTTTGAGCAATCTGGACAGGAGAGACAGTAGGATAGTGGGACTTTCTGTGGATAGCATCACTAGAGACCTTATCCCAAACTGAAAACCTCAGAAACATTTGGCCGGTTCTCTTACTGGCTGTGTAAACTTTGGAAAGTTACTTAGTCCCTTTTGTGAGTCAGTTTCCTCACCTGAATGTGGAAATCCAATCTGCACCCACTTTATAGGATTATTAAGCCATCCTAATGAGATAATATATGTAAAAAGTTTAGAACAGTGCTTGGTTCAATGCAAGATCTTATTGAAAGTTTGCTATTATTTTTATCATTATTGGTGTGACGTGGTGTGGTGTGTGTGTATGGTTGTGATAGCCAACACCAAGGATGTCATGGTCACTGCATAAAGAAAAAAAACTTAAATGTTTTGGATGGAGAGAATGGAAAGGGAGAAGTGACTTCCTTGGGATCCTCCAGCCTGTTGGAAAGAGGAGGTAGTGGTTATCATATATAAGGAAGTATTCTAAAAACTACAAACTCACATTGCAGTACAATCCTAATCCCACATCATTATTAGACTGTTGGCTCAAAGTTCTTCTGGCTCAAGATTCTCAAGCATCAACTATGTATTGAGCTCTACAGGATACAGAGCTGGGGGCCTGGCACACTCATTCATCAATTCATTCATCCACTTAAACATTTGCTGAGCATCTATCAGGTGCCAGGCACTAGGAAAGGACACTGAAAGAGACAACAATATTTGCCCTTAGAGAACTTAGGTTCTAGTTGGTAGGTAGATAATAAACACATAAACAAATCATCCTATCATATACTATCATGTGATCAGCATATTAAAGAAGGCAGGATGAAGGGATAACTATTACTGATAATGGGATGGTCTATGAAAGCTTTTCCAGAGGAGGTGGTACTGAACACACTTGAATGAGTGGAATGAGAGTGTCAGAGGCAGATGAAGTGGGAAGGAGCAAGAGTTACAGCTGAGTGAAGCAGGCAAAGGAGATGAAGATTAGAGACACGGGCAGGGGCTGGGAAATAGGCAGGGTAAGGAGTTTAGATTTTATTCTGAGCATTATTGGAAGACATTGGAGTATTTGGACTGGAGAGAATGGCACAATGTGATGTATGCTTCAGAGTGTTCACTCTGACTGCTGTAAAGATAGTAGATTATAGAATGTCCAAGGGTAGAAGCAGAAGCAGAAACCAGTTTAGGATATCATCACACTAATCTAGGAAACAACCCCAGGAAATTTGGCCTAGGTTGATAAGAGCAAAGATGTAAGACGTGAGGTTAGAGCTAAAAGAACTTACTTCTGTAACATGTGGGAGAAAGAGAAGAAGCCAGGATGACTATTAGGTTCTTGATCTGAGCAACCAGAGGAGTGGAGTTGTCCTTAACTGAGATGGGGAAGATTGGGAGAGGAACAGACTTGGCAGGGAAGTCTAGAGTCCTACTCTGAACTGCTTTGGTTGATCTGGACATACCAGTTAGACAACTGAGTGGAGGTGTCTAAGTAGGCAGCTGGATAAGAGTCTGAAGTTCAAAGAGAGGTCAGGGGACAGAGATAAAGATTTGGGAGTTATGCTATATAGTATTAGGTAGGACCATTGAACGTGTCATTTTTTTTTACAGGTGACAAAGATTGATCATCAGATGTTTCTTATGAATCAACCTGATATTTAAATCCATGAAGGGGAGAGATGACAAAGCCAGGTGGAATAGATAGAGAAGAGGTCCAAGGTCTGAGCCCTACATTACTCAGAGTGTTAGAGATTAGGAAGAAGAGGAAGACCTGGCAAAAGAATGTCCTGCGATGTAGAAAGAAAACCAGAAGTTTGTGGTCTCTGGAAACCAAATAAAGAAAGGGCTTCCAGAAGGACAGACAAAGTGTAGTGTATCAAAGCACCTGAGCAATCAGAGGAGAGCACTGAGGGGCTCACAGGACATTGGTATCCAGATCACCCAGTGACACTTCCTGATCATGAGAAACTGTCAGACCAACAGGGGCACTTTCTGTAACCAGCGGTTCTTCATTGCCCAAATGCAACCTTGATGGTTTGATTTTGGAGGATGGCAATTCATTAATAGCACTCTGCAGTGATAAATATGAAAACCAATAAAACTCCCCACCCAAGGCAACCTCTCCCAGCTCCTCACTTTGAGTGAAGTGAGTAACCTCCATTTCTGCCAACTCCTGTCTTGTCTGAAGCCACATTTCCCCAGCAATGTCACATATGCATTTCTTGATCCTGGTCATTTCTCCTCTTGGAAGATGAATCATAAAGAAAACGAGATCTGTGTGCCCTGGTGACTATGGATGAAAGAGTCTGCTGCCCTGGAGGGAAGAGCTGGAAAAGAAGGAGATGGTGAAGGCGGGTTGGGGGGAAACAGTGGAAAAGGAACCTTTGCAGGGGATCAAGGTAACAGAGTGATTAGTTACGTTGTTTGGACATGTGAGAACAGGGGGTTATAAAAATGGATACAGGAGGAGGGAGAGAAAGTAAGGACTAAAACATGAAGCCAGTCATGAATGTTTTTACATAAAAAGCAGCAGATTTACAGGCAAATATGTGATGTTTCCACATTTTCTGCCCCCAGTTAGCAGGGGCAGCACAAAGAGCGTTACTGTGGAGCTGAGCTTTGGGTAACAGATTAACAGCCAGGCCTTTCTCTCCAGTGTCTGCTTCCTTCTGGGCTTGCCCCGGGAGTAAAGGAGGGCTGGCATGGATGTGCCTGCAGCCCTCACCCTGAACATTCTTCCACGCCTCTCTGTTCATTCATTGCTTAGTCATTCCTCAGGCATGGATTGAGCCTACTGTGTATCCAGCATCGACCTGGCATAGGATGGACATAGAGATGGGAAAGGCACAGGGAGCAGGTGACAGAGACAAAGGAAGGTCATGGAGAATAGCAGAGTAGGACAGAAAATGAAGGCAGGGGATGGGGTTCTGGAGAAAGCAAGAGCGGGACTGACCCGTGTCTGCCTCACCTGCTACTGTTGTAGTCTCTTCTCCTTGGAGTATCCCTCCTGCTCTTGCATCACCTTAGGAACTTGGATCAGAGAGGAAAGTTACGGCCTGGATATGTTGTAGTAGGAAGGGACAGACACATTTGGAGACAGAAATGCTTGGGGAGCGGGTGTTTTTGGGGGATGAGACTTTCCGGGTCTCTCAATTCACACTATATAGGTAGTTCACTGCACAGCTTAAACAAGAGACAACTCTCCGGAGTGGTTGGCTCTCATCCATAAAATGTGTTTTGGGCCTCAGATTTCCAAAGGAAGGGCTGAAGCATGACTCGCCTGATGTCAAGTACTGATGGCCACCTGCCCCTGCCCTATCAGGTGTGGAAATGCTGGGGTTGCTCTCTCAGAACCTACTTCCTGAGATGTCAAAATATACCCAGGTGTATTTCTGGACCTTCTCCAATCCGAAATTGTTTGGTTTTGGTGTGTGTGTGCCTACTTGTCCTCACTAAGAGATGGAGGTGGCCTGGGTGAAATGCAGATTTCTAGAGGTTCTCTGATAAAGCTCAGGCCACCAGCCTCAGGCCAGCCTGTGGGTAGTCCTGGCTGACAGTCACTTCATACCTCACCTGGGCTTTTTGCCAAATTCAAAGTGTGTGTATGTGTGGAGTGCGGGGTTCCCACCACTGACAGTCTGTAAGTCATTCACTTAGCTCAATTTGTCTTACTTTCTTCTGAAATTTCTTCCTTCTTGTTTTTTTTTTCCCCAGGAGAAGCAGTCCTAGGGCAGCCTCCGGGCCAGCTTTCCCTAATAAGAAGGCAGAGCTCCTCTTCACCCAGACTTCCGACCTATAGAGGTAGCCTGGGGTCCCAGGATGCCCTTGCACTCAGAGATGTCCCCAGAGCCCTAGGGGAATGGAGGATAACTAGGAGGAAGCTGTTCGTGGCTGCGGATGGGGTCTATACATTCTTCTCTATCTCAGTGCTGTCTGCTATTGAATTTTTGTGCAGATCACATTAATTTAAAGCCAGTTCTCAAGAAGCCCCCCCGGCATATCTACCAGTTGCTCCCCTTTCCTGCCATTAATCAGTGTCTGCTAATTAAACAACAAACTCCTGTTTGTCCAAACAGCTGCCAACACCCCCACCCCAAGGCAGTTAAATGAGGATAAATGAGTCAGTCTTATTAAAAAATGACTTAAATTTATCAAATTCTATTTATGTTTCTTTTACATCCCAATTTTCTGTAGATTTAGTGACTCCAAATGATAAGGTCTCAAGCTTATAATAATTTATCCCTTGAGTAACACAAGGCTTGGTGGTATTTCGGTAATATTCATGACAGCAGCAGTCGTGCTAACAAGGACTGATGTCACCAGAGCACGTTCTATGTGCCAAGCACGGTGCACAACACTTTACATGCATTATCTCATTTAATTTTCACAAAACCTCGCAGAGGTAAATATTATTATCTTCCTCTGCATAGAAGGAAATGAATGTTCAGAAAGATTAAGTCAACTCACTGATGTCCCATCGGTGGTCTTTCACAGGCCTCTGTTGCTGTCTCATTGAACTATTGAAATTAGAAAAACCTGGGGACCTTGTTAACCTACAGATTCCTGGGCCCCATCTTAGATGCAGGGAGTCAGAATTTCTGGGAGTGTGGCCCTGGAATTTTCGTTTGTAAACACATTCCCTAAGAGACTTGTATACACGCTAAAGTGGGAGAATTCGCGGTCTCTGGCTTCTGTGATGTTTTAAACGCACTATATAATTTCAATAGCAAAAGAGTTGGGCTTTGGGAAGGGAGTGTGTGGTGAACCCTGAAAGCTGAATGGACTTCCTTCCTGTGGAGGAGCAGTGGGAAAAATTGGAGGCAGAGAGCTGTGTTTCAGTCCTTGATTGAGCTTATGTGAGTTATTTAATCTCCCTCAGTCTCTATTTTTTGTTCATTTGTAAACTGGGAAGGATACTTTTATTTTCCAGGTGGTTGTGAGGTGTGAAAGAGATGAGAGTAGAATAAAGTTGAAAGAGTTGAAAGCCCTCAACAAATGTATGTGGTATCAATCATGGGTTTCCCTGGGGCTGAGGAAGCCACCGCAAGCCTGTGCACAATGCCAGCCACCTTGTATGGATACAGAGGAGGCAAAGGGACTAACAAACACTCCCAGAGACTGGATATCTTGAATATCTGCCCAACTTTCTTGGGAGGGGCCATTTCTTCTGTAACTCAAAGGAATTTCTTGTTTTTAAGCCAGGGAGGCATGCTTTCTATCTGCTGCTGGTACTCCCAGACCAAGCTGTTGCATGTGGGACTGAAGTGTGACTTCTGCCTCAGTTTCGTCCACCTGTGCAGGGAAGAGAAAAATGCCTGCACCTCCATGGTCATACCCTCTGTTGGATCCACCTCCTTAAGCCAGAATTATTGAATGTTCTCTATGTGCCAGAATGATTATTATTTCATTTGATTCTCACAATAATGCCGTGAAGTCTATACAGACATACCTTGGAAATATAGTGGGTTTGGTTCCAGACCACTGCAATAAAGCTAATATCGCAATAAAACGGGTCGCACGAAGTTTTTGGATTAGGCTTTGGCTTAAGGGAATTTTGTGGCTGGTTTGATCTTTTATCCAGACCGCTAACACTTTCTCCCTATCAGCAATAGGGCTGTTTTGCTTTCTTATCATTCCTGTGTTCACTGGAGTAGCACTTTTAATTTCCTTCAAGAACTTTTCCTTTGCATTCATAACTTGGCTAACTGTTCGGCACAAGAGGCCTGCCTAGCTTTTGGCCTATCTAAGCTTTTGACTTGCCTTCCTCACTGAGCTTAATCATCTCTAGCCTTGGATTTAACGTGGAAAATGTGTGACTATTCCTTTCACTTGAACACTTGGAAGCTATTGTAGGGTTATTAACTGGTCTTATTGTGTCTCAGGGAATAGGGAGGCCCAGAACGAGAGAGAGAGCGAGAGAGACGGGAAAACAGCAAGTCAGTGGAGCAGGCAGAACACACACATTTATTTATTAAGTTTGCTGTTGTATGTTCGTGCAGTTCATGGTGCCCCAAAACAATTACAATAATAAGATCAAAGATCCCCGGTCATAGATCGCCATAACAGACACAGTAATAGTGAAAAAGTTTGAGATATTGTGAGAATAACACAGGTATTGTGAGAAATATGACCTAGAGACACATGCTATTGGAAAAATGGCACCAACAGACTTGCTTGATCCAGGGTTACACAAACCTTCAATTTGTAAAAAAACTGTAGTATCTGCAAAACGTAGTAATGTGTAATAAAATGCAGTCTGCCTGAACTTCAATTATTCCCATTTTATAGAAGAGGAAATAGATGCAGGGAGTTTGATCTGCCCGAACTAGTAAATGGTAGAACTCTGGGACTAACATTCCTATCCTCTATGCTACACTCCTAGGAAAGAACTCTCAGACAGGATTGGACTGACAGTGTGTTAAGCTTCGCGCTGTTCTGAGCCCTCTGAAGGAGTGTCCATATTTGAAAGCACCTCCTTCCTTTTGCTGGTCCTCCACAATGTGGCCTAAGTTATTCAATTAGGAAGGGAAATAATTGGCAGTGGGGAATGCCTCTAGCAGTGGTAATTACCTCCAGTGCCTTGTAGGAATAGTCAAGCTACATTTCAGTTTATGCTGTAAAACCTTAATTATAATATAAACAGCTGCCCTTCAGCCCAGTGGGGCAGCCTTCCCCCGCCTTCCTTCTCTGGCCTGGGAATGGCCCTGCCTCCTGAATGGTCAGGGAGGTCCAGGGGCGGAAGGAGACCTGGGAGGAGGGGAGCCGATGCCTGTGTGTGCGTTGGGGTTTGGGAGATTAAGCTAGAGGGAGACACTGCCAGGGTCCCATCTTCAAATGATGAAGCCAAAGGCAGCATCCCCATCTTGGTACCACTCACAGAGTCTCTTGGGGGAGCAGCCTCCAGCCGTTAGCAGTCAGCTCAGTGCCATTAGGCTAGGATAGGGTTTAGCAGGCTATGGTATTATTTCAGGGTAACATGTCTTTCCATTTAATACCCTGTGAGGGAGAACAGAGTTTTCCCTTCTAGATCCAGACGTCCTGGCCACATAGGAGCCCTGTTGTGTGCCTGGTGCACTCTAGGTAGTATGCGAGGCATGGTCGCAAGGGTTCCCCACTTCAACTTTACAGCACTTGGATACACAGAAAATTAACATCCTCAT